TTACTGCTGTTCATCTCACGGGTCTTGCGTACTACTTTTCGACGTACAAATTGATTAGTTTTGTGTGCACGACTTTGGTGCTATTCACATGCTTCTGTGCTATTGCAATGGGACTTGTTTTTGTTGCGGGAGCCGTGATTGCCTCTCACTATTTGCGTGGCGGTAGTTCCACCGCTCAAGATGGTGAGCCTCCGTCTGAAGATGAGGAGGATGAGGCGGAAGAAGGAGATTTGATTGAGGGGAAGCACCTTTTATCTTTGCATCACTCCGCGACGACGTTGTTACATGATGAGGATTTAGCCTCTAATTTGGCGGGGAGTAGGCAGGAGTCATTGTTTCATTTATATGAGGCGAATTTGCCTCTTGCAAAAGAAAAGAAATCCAAGTAATTCTCTTCTATGCTTTATTGGGAAACCGAAAGAATGAGAAAGAGGGAAGGGGAAGAGCACAAACCCCCCACCTGTGTGTGTGTGTAGGCGGTGGAATGCTGCCTTCACGGATGAATTTGTTTTTCCACACCGCGAGACAACATTTCTACCTTTTATTGTGTTTGTTTCTCTCCCTTCCTCTTGATTTCGATGGAGGGTCTGTGTGCCACTTTTTCTTTTTTTTCTTCCTCTCTCTCTCTCTCTCTCTCTCTTTGGGGGCATCTTTTTTTCTTCTTCCCGCAACACAAATGAGGTTTTGTGGCCGCCATGACGTTTGATGTGGTGAGCTACACCAAGGCCCAGCAGCAGCGGCTGGAGGAAATACGTCGCGCAACGGAGAAGGAGCGCCAACTGCTCGCTCTTTATGCAGGCAAGTTGGCGCACGGCACGCATGCTGTTCCCATCCCACCGGCGGAAAGCGCACAGACAACTGCGGCATCGAGCGACGGCGGCCGATGGCTTTCGCTTAACGACAGGGCCGTGGAGCTACACGCGTTGGATGAGAAGTTACTTTTGGAGGAGCGGGAGGTGGAACGGCAGACGTTTGAACTCGATGGACGTCTGCACGCGGCAGAGCGGAGGAAGGCGGAATTGCTCTCGCAGCTTGCGCTTCTTCAGCATCGCGAGGCGCTATTAAAGAAGGAGGAGGAGCTCTTGGAGGGAGTGGAGTCCGGTGCTCAGCGAGCGTCGCGGGACATTGAGGCCCTCTCGCAGGAAATGAATGAAGAGCAGCGTGCTGTGGAGGCACGCGTGGGTGAGAAGCGCACTCGCCTTGCCGCGGCGAAATTGGCTGCGCGTGATCAACAGAAGAAAAGGGATGCGTTAGAAGCACGTAGTCGCCTGCAATTAGAGGAGGTGCAGGATCGCATCCGGGGGCATCGGATGGAACTGGCAAGACTCGGCAGTGCGGTGAATGACAAGGAGAGGTGGCTGCGGCAGGAACAATCCCGTTTTCGAGAGGCGGAGCTCGCCGCTATTTGTCGGCTGAAGAAGGACATTGAGCTCATGGCGATATCTCTTGATGACAACACGGGGCATCACTAAAAACCAAAAGGAAAAAAGGAAAGTTCTAGAGAAGTAAGCCGAATAAAAAAAAAGAAGAAAAAAAAATAATACGTCTCATTTGATTACTTCTTTCTTATTTTCCCTGCGTGAGCATACGCCCTTTTCTTTTTTTTTTTTTTTATCGTCGAAAATGAAACGTCATGCGTTATCATGCCATATGTCTGGCACTTGACGGACGTGGTCTGTCCGCACCGCCAATTTGCGTCCATCGCATTTCACGGATTTATTATTATTATTTCCTTTACATTATTTTTTTTTGTAGGTTTTCTTTATTTATTTTTTTCTTACAGTATTATTCTGTGCTTTGTGTGTTGTTGGGTGCATTTGTAACGAAGACAAATTTGGGCTGAAATGGACGACGAGCTTCTGCTGCAGCTGAATGAAACCGAAGAATTTGTTGAGGACGGGGCGGACTACACCGTAGACGGTGAGCATGCCGGCTCCACGGACATTGACAGTGAAGATATTTGGGAGATTATATCCTCCTTCTTCCGGGAGAAGGGGCTTGTGCACCAGCAGATTGACTCGTACAATGACTTTCTCCTGCGTATTCCCCGCATGGCACGCAGCCTGCTAGAAGTTGTGCCGCGGCAGGACGAACAGTTTGAGCCCGGCACCCAAACGGAGACGGAGCCCGACCAATACCGACTCAGTCTCGAGGACGTTGTCATTGGCAACCCGTCGCACGAAGTGTCCGGCTTCAGTCGACACGAGATGCATCCTCTCTTTCCCAACGAGTGCCGGCTACGCGATCTAACTTATGACGCCAACGCACAGGTAACGCTTGGCATTCGTGTTTACCGTTCACGGGAGGAGCAGCCGTACCGCACTTTTTTGCAAAACATGGAACTTGGCCGCATCCCCATCATGTTGAAATCCATGCGGTGCAATCTGCAAAACAAGGACGAAGACGAGTTGCCACGTCTAAACGAGTGCCCACATGATCAGGGCGGCTACTTTGTCATAAGTGGAACAGAGAAGGTCCTCATTGCACAGGAGCGTCAAGCTGCCAATCACGTCTATGCCTTCTCACGGCAAAAGGGACTCTTGTGTGAAATTAAATCTATTGTGGAAGGTTCATTGAATAAACCACGTACGCTGCAGATCTTAATGCCGTACAAGAAGAAGGGACCAGGTCACGGCTACGAGAATCTTCTTTGTCGCGTGGCTCAGATGGATGAACTCATTCCTCTTTTTGTTTTGTTCCGCGCTCTTGACATGGGGTCAGATAAGGAAATTCTCCAAACCGTGGTTCCTGATTTAAAAGATGCCGCCATGCTTGAAATGCTCCGAGGCTCCATGGAAGATGCAAGCACATTGCAGATATTTACAAGGGATGAGGCGCTGTGGTTCATTGGCAAACGCCTTGGTAAACAAGACAGTAGAGAAAACTTGCAGCGTGACGCGCAGGGGTTGTTGATGCGGGATCTGCTTCCGCATATGGGTGTGGATTGCGCCGCCGATCGGAGCAAATGTCTCTTCATTGGATACATGGTTCATCGTCTTTTGTTACTCGCGCTGGGAAGAAGGGAAGACACGGACCGTGACTTTTTGGGCCATAAGCGTATTGATGTTGCCGGGGCACTGCTTACATTTCAATTGAACCATTTTCTTGTTCAGGTGCGGAAGGAGATGGTAAAGACAGTGCATGATTACTCTACCAACCGCGGTGGTGTTGTCAGCTTTGGCAGAATTCTGCACAGTCGCCTCATCACGGATGGATTGCGCCGTTGCTTGGCAACGGGTAACTTTGGAGATATGAAGTCTGGTAACATCAAGACAGGCGTGGCTCAAACACTCAACCGGCTGACTTATTCCTCTTCACTAAGTAATTTACGCCGCATTCAAAACCCCATCTCTGCCTCCAGCAAAGCCACCAAACCACGCAACCTGCACTGCACCCAGTGAGGTTACATCTGTCCGGTGGAAACCCAGAGGTGGCTCTATTGGTCTGCTGAA